TCTTTTTCTTTTTCTTTTTCTTTTTCTTTTTCTTTTTCTTTTTCTTTCTCTTTCTCTTTTTCTTTCTCTTTTTCTTTTTCTTTTTCTTTCTTTTTTTTTTTTGTGGCAGAAGGAAAAACATGCACTTTTCTCAAAATTGAATGAGATTCTAGTCTGGCATAGTGGTTGCAGACTATGTATGCCACTGATAAGCCAGAAAAATAAATCAGCAAACAAATAAAAGTTAAAATTTTAAACATATAGTATTATTCAAACATTTTTTTTTAATTCTTGACAGTCTTCATGTGCTAGAAATGCAACACTGGTTGGACATTGGAAAAGGTTTGACAGTGGACACTGCAAAGGACAGTAGATGAAAAGAAAAAATGGGCTGGTGCAGAAAGGACTAGCTTACTCAGTGTACAAGTAGGTATAACAGAACTTGTTAAGTATGATATCTCTTCTACTAAGGTTTCTATTTGCACATTTATTTGGACCTTAAAAGGTTATTTACTCTACTATTGCTCACACCCCTGAACAGAGTGAGGAAATGAACTGTATTTCAAGTTGAATGAAGGCATTCTTCTTCCATCCCTACTGGCTCGGGGATTTCTCTCAGATGTGTGTCTCCTCACAAGCATCCATACTGCTGAGGGACCCAGAGAGCTCAACGCAAGGCAGAGCAGAATACAGTTACTCTGTAAGCTCCTTCTAAGTGCTACAATAAAGGATAAACTAAGTTTTAGTTGTAACATGCATGCTTTCTGTATTGCATTAGCTTAATGGATAAAATGAGGAGGCAATATCATCACAATAGTGGCAGTCTTTGACACGCTGCCTAATCCAAAACCAGATTAATTGGAATAAAAATCCTTTTTCTTCTGTCACAGATGAGAACAGAAACATTTGGGCTTCAGAGTCCAACATTCAGCCTCCTGTTGTCCTAGAGAGTCTTTAACTGGAGACTGCAAAACTTATGGCAGACAAAAGCTTAGGAACTGTTATGTCTTATCTCAAGAACTGTAAATAAAGTGGAGCTTAGCATAAATGTGCCTCAAGACAAGTCTGGCCCTGCTAGAAATCTGAAGAATCAGCATATTTTTATGGAAGGTAAAAATTCCTACAAGACAAGAATGCAACTTCTTTTTATTACATTATATGTACATACTCAGCTATACTGCTATAGACAGTACATAATGGAATATTTGCTACATGCTCAAGACTGCCAAATGTTTTCCATAACCCCTCTTTTTATTAAAATATTCCAAATACATCTGTGCTGCACTAAATCATATGCTGCTATTTGGCATAAACTGCATCTTCACACTGTTCTGCAGAGTTAAACCGTGCCAAGACTGAAGTATTGATTGCTACTTATTGCACACTGCATACTAATAAATCCTATCCTTGTGTCCTAGCCAGCCACGCACATACAACTCCAGAGAAATCACTTCTATATTTTAAGACTCCTAACTATCTTCCATAATAATGTGAGATGAAGAAATTCATCCAGCTCATTCATGCACAAACATGCAGGAAGCAAAACCAACCAGCTCCACATGTCCAGTTCAGCTCACAACACTACAACAGGGGCACCTGCACCAGGCTGGACACTGTGACCTCCCACAAAGAGAAAGAGAAAAAATTTCCCAGTGGTCCATTATGAAAGCTAAATTCATACTGCAGTGCTCACACTACATTTTCGTGTGATTCTTCTTTTTTTTTCCTATTCTTAAGCAGA